TTGTTGTTAAGTGCCCTTGAGTTGGTTCTGACTCAGCAACACTGTACAGGGCTTCCAAGGAGCAGCTGGTGGGTTTGAACCACCGACCTTGCAGTTAGCAGTCCAGTGCTTGTCCTACAGCGCCACACCAGGACTCCTCATACAAAAGGATAGAGTCAAAATATACACACAAATCAAAAAACCCAAAACAAAGCAACTCTGATCATTTTTATTCATCAGAAATTTCAGAGTTCAGGGTAGGGAGAAGAAATAGGTGAACGTGTTCAGAAGCTTCAGGAAGCCTTTAGGCCACTTTAGTCCTCATCAAACACTGCAGAGGAACAGGAATCGAGCTTGGATTACCCCCAACCCCTTTTGCATTAACAGACTAAGGTGCTCTCCTCAGAAGAAACGTCAACTTTTTACTTTGTAAGAGAGATGCACACACACAAAAAATAGTGTTGTATGAGGAAAACCAGGGCCATGCCCCTTGAAGATATAAACTTCTTCCAAGTAGAGTGAACTAAAAGGCAAATTTTACCGGTGAGCTATCAAGGCCCTGGAATAACATTCCCAGGGAGTCTACTCCCTCCTCACTACTGCATGACTCAATGAGAGTTCTCAAGGATTGTGACAGTCAAGGTTTTGTGGGTCAGGATTCTCAGTGGTTTGGAAATTAAGCATCAGTTATCACCTTCTGGTAGTGCAGTGGTTACGAATTGGGCTGCGAACCGCAAGGTCAGCAGTTCGAAACTACCAGCTGCTCCGTGGAGAAAGATGAGGCTTTCTGCTCCTGTTAAGATTTACAGCCTCAGAAACCCTGTACAGGGTCGTTATGAGTCGGAACCAACTCCACGGCACATAACAACGATCACCTCCATGATGAGATTTAGTATCATACAATCAACCCCATGATATGACCTGAAGTGATCCATCCTATTAATCCTAATCTCATGTGATTGTATGTAATCTCATGTGTTGTAAATCCTTACTTCTAAAATGTTAATGAGGTCAGGTGATGGATATTATCTCTGTAGATTGTACCTAGATTGTAGGTTGTACCTTGAGTTAATCTTTTGAGACGTAAAAGAAGAGAGGAGTGAACATAGAAAGAGGGACCTATTCTCACCAAGAAAGAAGGGCTAAGAGTGGAGTGTGTCCTTTGGACTGGGAGGCTGTGCACTGGGAAACTCCTAGGTCCAGGGGAAGATTGACGCTAAGATGTATGGAGAGCTCCAAGGAATACTGGGTCCACAGATGTTGAAAAGAGACAAGGACCTTTCTCCAGGACCAACAAAGAGAAACCCTTCCCCTAGAGTCAGCACCCTGAATGTGGACTTCTCCCTTCCTAAACAACACATTTCTGGTTGTGGGATTTCTGTTACAGCAACATTAGATAACTAAAACAAGGCTCTTTATATATAAAAAGAAAACGGAGGCGGTAAAGCTTATAAGTCAGTGACATTTAACAACAACAGCAACAACAAAAATCAGAGAAAAAGGCTTTATAAAACATAAAAACCATTCAAGGGTCACTGAATCTCTCATAGTTAAGTTTCTGGCTGAAGATAAATTGGCAATCAGAACCAAGTCAGGAGTGTCTAACAGGCAAACACATAAAACAAGTTAGCCTTACTTAAATATTAACCTGCAACCTAAGGGTTTTGTTGTGATTTTAAATTTAAAACTAACAAAAAATGACAGGCACAGTCATTTAGCAAATACAAATGTACAGATGGTCCGTGCTCCAATCAAATATAATTAAGTGGGTACCTTGCTTGTCTAAAACTGCTTAATTCCTTGATAAATGGAGCTATCAGGCACCAAAAAGCTGCTTGACTGTTTTTTTCACCTTGCTCAGCATGAACTAGAACACATGACAAAAAAAATGTTTGAAAGATTAAAACGATGAACAAAATCGCATCCCAACTAAAATTAAAACCACTTCAACAAGAGCTTGAAAGAGTAAAGATAAATGTGAATTAGTAGTGCAATCTGTGGTTGTGTTTTTAAAGCTTTACTCAGGTTTTTAACAATAAAATGAAAGGTATATGAGAATTCTTTCAGAGGTACCTGAACTAACTGCAACATCAAATTTAAGTCAGCTGCAACAAGAAAAGGATGCCAGGTATTCTTCACCTAGATATCAAGGGCCTACCTCAGTAGCAACAATCAAGGATAGAAGTAGATAAGAGGCTAGAAGGCCAACAGGACAAGGAAAACAGCAAGGAAGCTAATACTCATATAAGCAGCTGATACTCCTGAAATCTTACTAGGTGCCACATCCTGTGCTAAGCATTTTGTAGGACTTTATTCAGCAATCCTGTTCACACCCCTCAGGATACTAGTATTAGTCCTACTTTGTTGTTGCTGTTGTCAAGTGCCATTGAGCAGACATTCAGGCAAAGTAGATACAACTGGAGAAAGCTGTTATTGGTGTTAAGTGTTGTTGAGATGGTTCTGACTCATAGTGATCTTGTTGTATAGGGTTTCCCAGGAGCAGCAGCTTGTGAGTTTGAACTGCTCACCATGTGGTTCAAATCGGCTTTATGGTCAAGTGCTTATTCTACCATACCACACCAGGACTCCAGTACAAATGTACATATGGCCCAAACTCACAACTGTTACCCTAAACTGGAGCCAATTTGCACATAAAACATAACAATTAGTCAGTGGCATTCAATAAACAAAACAGATGCAGCGTGCCCCAAAAGCTACAAAGAAGCATAAAGAATTAAAGCATTGCTAAAACCAACCAAAGGAGCTCTGGTAGCATAGTGGTTTCAAGTCAGGCTGCCAACCTCAAGGTCAGCAGTTCAAAACTACCGGTGGTTCCGGGCGAGAAAGATGAAGCGTTGTGCTCCCGTAAAGATTTAAAGCCTCAGAAACCCTGTGCAGGGTCACTGTGAATCAGAACTGACTCCACGGTACTTAACAACAACAACAAAAACCAACCAACAAGCAGAGTGACACAGAAATGTTTTGCAGTAAAGCATGCTTCCCTTCCACAGGATTATTTATGGCTGTAACCTAAAGTGTCTGCTGTTGATGTTCTCTGATATCCTGGAGTCAACTGAGGGCATCGATCTTTTTCTTGCACTAAAGGTGGGTTAGAACGACTCGACGGCACTTAACAACAACAACAAAGGTGGGTTAAATTTACCTACATATTCGATTTAAAGACAGAGTAGGGAAGAGATCTCATTCATAACCTGGGTACTGCCTGCCAGACTGTAAGACAATTAAGGAACCCTGAAGGGCTAATGCATCAGACTGCAAAGTCGTTTGAACTGCAAGGTCAGTGGTTCAAGCTCACCAACTGCTCCTCAGAAACCCTACACAGGGTCGCTATGGGTTGGAATCGACTCGATGGCACTTCACAACAACAATGGCGAAGTGGGTTACACATTGGGCTGCTAACCATAATGTCAGCAGTTCGAGTCCTCCGACCACTCCTTAGGAGAACGATGACATTTTCTGCTCCCCTAAGCTCTGGTAGCGTAGTGGTTACGAATCGGGCTGCGAACCTTAAGGTCAGCGGTTCGAAACTACCAGCCGCTCCGCGGGAGAAAGATGAGG